AATGAAAGATGGTTGAGATTAGTAATGACTTCCACTCCACAACCATAAGTGAAAACGGGGAAGAGCCCTAAAGTATAGACTAGTGATGGCAACTCAAGACGGGGTATGCACAGAATACCTGTGCAGAGGATGCACAGAAGCCTAACTGGGACAAAGAAGGAACAGTTCAAACAGCGATGAGTTTTACTGAATTCAGAAAATATGAGTAGCCTAAATGAAATAAATGGTTCTTTTCAAAACAGATTTGCTCAGAGCCCAAAATAAAGCACATGCCAAGAGCCTTTGTAACTCCTAAAAAGAAAAAAAGAAAAAGAAAAAGAAAAAGAAAAAACCAATCCTCACACAAAAAGGGTGGGGGGATGGGGTGGATAGAGGAATAACTGAGGTTAGGTTTAGTACAAAATATATTCTAAAGCAAACACTAAGAACCTGCAGAATGTGTTTTGTCTTATCAAAAAGAATGGGGGGTGGGGGCTGAAGACCACTCTGGATTTCCCTGATTCATCTCTGGCTTAAAGTGAGCCAAAATAGATTCCTAAAAGAGGTGCTTAAAAGAGCATGAAAAAAATATTTGAAGACCGTATTTCTGATAAAGCGTTTGTATGCAAAATGTATAAAGAACACTTAGACATCAATAAGAACACCCAACAGCTTAATTAAAAAATGGGGAAAAGATTTGAAGACATTTAACTAAAAACATGGGTATGACTAAAAAAACACAGGAATAGATTCTCCTCCACATCATTTGTCACTACAGAAGTACAAGTTAAAACCACAGTGAGATACCAGTTTATACCTACTATGATACTATTACAAAAAGAAAACAAAACACCACACAAGCATCAGTAAGGAAGTGAAGAAACCAGAGCCTCGTACATTGTGGGAATAGAAAATGGTGCAGCCACTTTTCTAGAAAACACTTTGACAATTTCCTTAAACGTTAAACAAATTTACCATAGAGCCCAGCAATTCCACTTCTAGGAATCCACTCAAGAGAAATGAAAACGGATGCCCAAAGATCTGCACCATGTGAATGTTCATGACAGTATCGATCCTAATAGCTAAAAAGTGGTAACCCAAATGTCCATTAAGTGGTGAATGGACAAATGTGGTATGCCCATGTAATAACATATTATTCAACCATAAAAGAGGAATGAGGTACTAATACATGCTACAGCCTTGAAAACATAAGGACAAGTGAAAAAAACATACACAAAAGACCATATGTTGTATAATTCTACCTATATGAAATGTACAGAAAAGACAATCTATAGAAACAATGTAGACGAATGGTTGCCAGGGGCTGGGGTGGGGACAGGAAGTGGATTCAACTGGGAATGGGGGATGTTTGGGGGGGACAGAAGTATTCTCAAATTGGACTATGATAATGTTTGCATAACTGCAAATTTACTAAAACTCATTGCACACTTAAAATGGGGTAATGTAAATCATACCTCATTAAAGAGGGAAGTGGGCTAAAATGAAAGCTAATACTGGAGCATCTCAAGTCAAAGCAATCTCACGGCAGTTGAAGGAGGACCATTCAGTGTCCTCTGGTAAACAGAAAAAGAGTACAGAGACATGACGGCAACACGTAGCCTAACTCGTCAGCAACTGGGCGATACAGTGTGGGCAGGAAGTTGCCTGTTCAGCACATAAGCTTGCCAACTGTTTTACCTTTAAGTAGTACTGTAAGCTGAGGTAGTGGCAAACACAGTATTGGAATGATTCTGGCAGTTTCTGCAGTCATTTCTATTAACTCAGGAACTAGGCAAGGAAAACAATAAGTTGGATGAACCCTGATACTTTAAGTTCCGTAAGAAAGCTATAACTTTTACATCGTGGGTTATGTAAGAAAATTGGAGGGAATACCTAAGCAAAAAGGATCGGAATGGAGAACCACCCCCACCTGAATTAGAAAGATCGTAAGATCGATTTGCCTTCATAGATCTGATAGTTATAACTCAACTCTGGGAAACTGAGGACTTGGGAGCCCTTTTCTTGCACGCTGCTTTTCAATGGGATTCCATAGGTATGAAAAAGACAGCACTGAGAGGAGGAATCAGTACTTGATTCTTTGTGTCAGTCTTTAGTTCTCAGAAGACTTAAGGAAAAGCCAGAGGAATAAGAATTTATCTTTAATATAAAATAAGTTGTCTAAATGAGGCACATTAGGAGTCGGAGTGATCCGTTCTCCAGGTCTGGAGCAAAAACACATTCCACTTACGAACAACTGCTTCAGCCACGAGAAATTTCCTGATATTAAGAAAACCTAACTTCCTCTCACTGAACAAAAGCTCTCGCAAGATTGGAGCCTACGTGCTACAGGTGTGCTTCTGGAGTGGCGGTGGAAATTCCTCAATGAGCATTTTTCTCGTCTGTATTTACCAAACCACAGGCACCGCACTCTCCGGGCGTCAGCCAGGATTCCTCCAGATCAAGCTCGGTGTGTCCTCGGAGGAGAACCACTGCCTATGGTGAGCACCTGTCACCCTCATCTTGTGACCGGGAGAGAAGCATGGCTTAGAGCCATGATGTTAGTTACTTAATAAGGACAGAGCTTCTGGTAATAAGGTCACTGTGAAGCAATGGACCCAAATCCGACTCACCATGCTCGGGTTAATGACAGGGCACGTAGAAGCAACTTTCTTTAGTTCCATCGTCCTGGCTTAAAGCACTCACAAAGCAAACCAAAAACGGAGAGGCAGGGGTAAAAAGATTAGGCTTCCTCAGAAGCTAGACCAATCCAAGGTTTATTAGCTGTAATCGCTGTTTTACAGACTCTGCTTTCTGCCTTTCCTTCTTTAGAGTGCTTTTATCTTCCTCACCAAAGGACTATTCCACATCAAAACACGAAGAACTTTATCTTGGCCTTCACTCTGTCAGACACAGATAAATCCTGGCATAATGTCCAGTAACCATCGTCATACATGGAGCCTTGTAACAGGAGGAAAACGTCTAGTGCACCGTGGATCACTTACACGGGGGTCTGTTTCTCCACACTGCGCTCTGGTATGGATGTAGACATCCAAGACACAATAAAGCTTGAGGTCAGCCTACAGATGCGTCTATCTGGCCACAGGAAATGAACCTCTTGGAGAGGAGACTGAGCAGAGTTCAAGAGGGCAATCTCACTGCTGGCAAGGTTGCTAACTAGTTATGACCCGCTTTCCCCCCAGCCCTTGCGCTACGACTGACCTCCGTCTGCAGGAGCCAGCTGACAGGGCTAGAGGAGTCGAAGAGAGGGTAACAGGCGCTCTGAAAGTGGCCAGACAGGCTGTGCGGCCTAGACTCCAGCCTAAAGCTGCCAGAGCTGGCCAAAAAACGCACGGTTTCAAAAAGGCAACTCCCGTTTCTTGAAAGCTGTCCGTACTCCCTCGACCAATTTCCTTTCATTTGGACACAGTCTCAAACCCTAGAGACCGGGCCTTTTTCAAAAGGTAATCGATGTCTGGGGTCCCCAACCTGCTGAGAAGTTCCTGTCTCAGGAAGGGCAGGAATACCAATTTTAAATGTAAGCTGCTAAACTTCTTTGTTGGTAAAAATTAATAATTTGCCACCATTTTTTAACATACCATCCCGTATCAAAAACATACTCATCAGTTGTGGGATGAAACAGAATGTTTTATCTATTGGATTGTATCATGTATCACGAACTGACTCAGTTGTTTTTTTGTGAGCTGGACTGCAGGTTCCAGGACTAGGAGAGAAAGGAAGGAGCCAGTCAGTGTGTAAGAAAGGAGAATTTCAGGCCCGAAAATGCCTTTAAAGTCATTTAATGGGACTACATAATTGGCTGCCCAAACTAGGACAGTTCAGGAAAGAAAAGGACATTATAAACACTGATGCAAGGACGACAGGGATAAACTAGGACTGTCCCACACCCTGAGACACAGACTCCCCCTACGAGAGTATACTCATTTCTCTGTTCAAAATCCTTCAATGGTTCTCCATCACTTCAGAATGAATTTTAAATCACCGTCTCATCACTACAACTTGAGCACATGCCTCAACGATAGCATGTATCACACTGGATGAAAACTGCTGATGTTCAAGTCTCTCCACTCTCATCAGTCTGTGAACTCCAGGGCAAGAGTCCACATGACGGGCCTTGGTGTTCTACCTCAATGTTTGTCACGTAGCAGCACTTGGTAAAAATAATGGTGTTTCCATCAACATCATGTCTCACAGCATATTTTCCTCCATCCATGCTTTTTCAACCCACATTCTGTCTTTCCCAGGTGTCACTTCACAGCCATGTGACTTGAGGCAAGTCAGTCAACCTCTCTGTGCCTCAGTTTACTCACCTTTATACGCAGGATCCTAATGGTACGTACATCACAGGATAATTAGGATCATTAAATGAGGTACTCTACGTAAAGTGCTTTCACCACCACCCAGCCAGCTTCCCAAAGGCAGAGATCTGTTCCTTTGGATCACTGCTATATACTTACACCACGAACAATGCCTGACGGAACAGACAGCATGTCCTCCGCAAGCCTACTGACATGTACTTTCTTTCTCCAATCCCTTCCTTTGCCTCACCAGTGCCATGTATATACTCTACACCCCCTCTACACCCACTCCTGTGTCTCGATCAGAAACCTGGCACCCTTCCCTTTAAAATGGGACACAGAGGACCACGAAACTCTACGCCAGCCGCCAATCACAGCCCTTCACCTGAAATAGATTACACGAGACTCCTGAGCTCTCTGCCTACCAGCTGTCCAACACTGAACACAGACGATGACCGGGGGCTGAAAAACACTTCCGAGGACTTCTTCAGTCTCGGATGAAATGCACACGCTGCCTCTCAGGGTCAGGGCTGAGAGGAAGAAAAGACTGCTACTGCCTTGTGTTTCCACACTCAAGTAAGGAGGAGAACTACTCTATTGAGTATATACATTCAAAGGTATACAAATACAAAACCCTGGAAATCATAAACAGTTATACAAACTCAGCTTACTTTTTAAAATAAAATTTCACAAAAATAAAATTACCTAAAATTAAGCCCACCATTGTACTTAAATATCCGGTTCCACTTCCCAGGTTAAGAAAAGACAATCCTGGTTGAAGTTTCAACGCTTCCATAACTTCAGAATAAATGCAAGGTGCTGACAAGTGTATGTTGCCATGCTTCCAGGCTAAGTCTTTGTACGCATTGTCTCGGTAGCCTTCCAAATAGTAATCTCCGCGATCAATCGCTCTGAAGGCTTGCTCCACTCTTTCAGTGCGGATATACTGAGCTTCTTTTAAGTTATCAATTAAGTCATCATTATCTTCCCCAGCACTCACAGCTCCTCCCATGATAGTATTCAAATCAAATCATAAATTTTAAAATGTAATAAAATTAGCAGAAATGGCTTCCAATAATGGAGTGTGGTTTGCTTTCCCTTTAATATTGCACTTGATTTCCAAAAATAAATTAATCCTGAAAGGGAAGAATAAAAATAAACAGGTTTAAATTAATGCTCAAAGGAAAGTAATTCCAGTTTAGTAAATATATAATAGTCATCATAACTACCATTTTTCAAGGATATATTTTGTTCCAGACATAGGGTTAAGTTCCTCAAGATTATTATCTATTCATATAACAACCACAAAAGGTAGCTTAAGTTCGATCTCTTCTGTACCTGTGGCATATCTTGGACACTGAAGAGTTAAGTCACCTCACACTGAAAGGCCAAATATGGTAGCCATTAGTCACAGGTGGCTATTTAGACCTAAATTAAGTAAAATTAAATACGATGTAAAAATCAGTCAGGCACCCCAGCCACACTTCAAGTGCTTAACAGCTACGTGCGGCCAGTAGCTGCCACACTGAACAGAGCTGTTCTAGAAAGCGACAATTCTGGGACACAGTTCCAGGTCTTTCCGACTCCAGAAACCATGCTCTTAATCATTAAGGCAGGCAGCCTTCGGAGTATGGTGAGTCTAGTTTAACATGCGTGAATTACTTCACTGACTTAAAACTTCCTAAATTTAAAAATCCACTACCACCTAAATGCTAAAAATCTTAAGTGCACCACATAAATTCAAAATGTTAACACAAAGCAACATAATTACCCAAACACTGAATACAAAAACAAAACAAAACAAACCCACTTTAAAACAAACTCCCACATGTTTAAAATACACACACCCACACACAAACATATGTGTGTTCAAGTGTTTTATTTGGTAAACCCTGTGGTGATAAATAAGGAGACCACAAATTTTATTAAAAACTTTAATAGCATAAGCACCAGAACATGTTACACACAGGTACAATAAACTTCAACTAAAAATTTCAGCATCTTCAAATGAAAACATAAGTGCAACTTGATAAACTAAGAATTTTAACACATCATCATGATACACAATTTAATCTTTGATTCAACTACGGTTAATAAATGAATTTCACGTAACAACTGATTTCTGAATTAATAAGTCATGGGAGGGAAAGTGAGAAATGAAATGCCCATAGCCAAAAACGAAAGAGTTTTGACAGCCGGTCCTGGCAGGGCTGTACCCTCACTCTTGACTTTTGAGTACAGGAGCAACTGAGAACTCGGGCTTCCTCAGGGCTCTCAGACTTCTGTCACTGAACTGTCCCAATAGTCCAGGGACAGCTTCCTCACCAGGCCCTGTCCCCACTGTCTGTCTGTGTCCTCTTTTGTCTTTTCCTGTGATCTCCTTAAACTCTCTGAGCAGAAGAAATACTGTGAACTCATGTCACACTACTTAACTTACGGAAACTCACTTCAACCAGTGACTTGGCTGGCTCCAATGCCCCCACAACCCCAAAGAGAAGTAACTGGAAAAACACACGGGCTTACAGAACCATCCTCAATGAGTCGACTTGGCAGCACACTGGTGCAGCTGGAGACGTCAACGTGCTCTTCCTTCCACAGGTCTTAGTTTGGGCATCCCTTTCTAACCCAAGCATCTTAACTCGCTGAGCAAAATTCTAGCAATTAGAGATTTGTTTCGTTTTGTTTTTCACGACACGGCCTCTAGGCGTAGGCGAACTTTTCAGCTGGTACTCAGAGCGAATGCCTTCCCCCGGGATGGAAGAAAAAGTGGCTATGCTCATCAGTCCCAGCGTGGCACCTATCGCAGGACTTCATGAAGCCTAATTCTGACTCTGAAGACATTTGATGGCTCTCCTCGAAGTGCTGTATTTTACTAGTTTGAAAAACTATTCCCCTTCCCTTTGCTTCCAGGGCTAAGGAGGGACCCAATCCATCTCAGGTCCTTCTGGACTCTGACCTGCCCCAACTTATCACAGCAAACAAACAAATGTTGACTTCACTACACAGAAGTGCTCACTCGTGGTGAGAAAGGCAGGAGGAAGAATCAAACCAGTAAGAACTGTTCCCATTTGCTGACCGACCCTGTACCGTACTCAGTGTTTTCGTTAAAACACATGGTCTCCTTAAAAGCTACGCTAAGCCTATGAGGAAGGCAATCCCTTGCCCACTTTCAAGTAGAAACAATCTGTAAAGGCCGGCTGGGACACTGCAATGCATGTGACTGCTGCTACAGGAGCCCAAAGGAAAGTGGATCCAGGAACCCAGGAGAGCTTTCTCAAGAAGGCACAGACTGGGTAACACAGTTAAAGGACTAAGGGAATCAAAGGCTGAGGAAATGGCTATTAAAGCGACAGAGTAGATGACCCTTTTAAGAAACTACATGCAGCTGGGTACTTCCAATCACCTTAAAACCTTTATCCCGTCGGCCAGTGATTTTTTTTTTTTTTTAAGCCTGGATCCTTTTGAGAATCCGATCATACTTTGGTCCTTCTCATTGACAAATGAATGAAGGAAAAGTTTTACGCAGCTTCAGAAGGAGCCTGAGTTCCTGCAAACCCATGAGCTGAATCTAATTTAAGAACATCTACTTGATGCAGCAGAGTCAGCCACAGGTATTAACAAGGAAGGGAGATTAACAAGGGCAGGAGAATCCCACTTCCATTTCAGAGAGGGCAGTGTAATCTGTGTTTCTGATCTACTGCAACAGCCCGGAGAGCAGGTACCTGGAAAGTTGGGAAACACATCGCCTTGTCAAGAAGCAGCAGCGCAAGACCTGAACCAGACTTCCAGGACACTCTGGTCTGATGGGAAAGAAACACATCTGGACACAAAGCTGCAGCGTATCCAGGAGGGAGGTGATCAGGAAAGGTTCTCTGGAATAAGAGGAGCAATCACCGCAATGCATCATGTTTCCTTAAACAATATGTAAGGTAAGGATGTGCAGATGGCAGTCATGGTGGTCTGCATGTTCATGCTTTGAAGTGACAGCAAGGTACAAGCTTATGCACATTACAGAGACACCTTAGCAACTCACGAAAACTTTCAGCAAAAAGCTGAAGTTACAGAGGACCTGCTTCTAAGGTAGATGCTGTCACAGTTACTTCAAGTGGTCTGGGGAAGCTGTGAATGCAGATGAAAAAAAACGATAAGACACTGTCCCTGAATTAAAACAACATACAAATTAAGGCTATATCCAGGTTCAGATTTTAAAATTCTGATGAAAATATACATATGAAAATAAAATTATATCCATAAGCAAACTGTCTTCTAGGGCCTAAATTTCAAAACGAAGATGAACCCTGGGTTTTAAGGCTGGGAAAAACTGAAGGACTGTGATGCCAGGTGCAAATCCCAGTAGATTTAGCTATGCTAGAAATCTTACGAGGATTGCTATTATCTTTGTCAGTAACCTGGTTATACAGTTGCACAGGTTTTCAGTGGTATGCCCTAAGGCTATTTCTCGCACATGTCCCGCTGTTTTGTGAAACATTAGTAGGTGTTTTCAGATGTTATAGAAAAACCCAGTACTTGACCTCAGGCCCTTGAAGGATCTTAGGAAATGTGAGGGACCACAGATCAGTCTGGAGAAGACACGGCATGCCAAACTGCAAAATGGGATAAGCAGAGCCGTGCGAGGACATTACGGAGCACTCAGCCCAGACGCGGGGACGCAATAAAAGGACAGGAAGATTTTCCTAAAGGTGGAAGACCGGGTAAGCAAGAAGGCAGAAGGAAGGAAAAGTATTCAAAACATGTGGAAAAGACGAGGAGACAAGAGGCCATGCGTCTGCCCCCGGTAAGGCCCTACAAATAATAGCGCAGAGCTGAAGCGCAGGACTAGAAGCAGTGCTTGGTGAGGCAAGAAGACTAAGAGCCATGAAAAAGGAAGCTTGCAGGCCACACACACACACACACACACACCCACAGCGCTTGGACTTCCTCCCGCAGACAATGGAGCCAGCAAAGGCTTTTGAGATGAGAGACATATTGTATGACTAATTTTAAAACAAGATGTAAAGGAAAAACCAAAACTGTAAAAGAAAGAGAACATAATTACAATTCGTTGTTTGGTCTGGGGAAGACAATGTTTATACAGTCAGAATAGCGAAAACACAGTGGCTGATTTAATGTGAGTAGTCGCTGGGGCGCCTGGGTGGCTCAGTCCGTTAAGCATCCGACTTCAGCTCAGATCATGATCTCACGGTTCCTGAGTTCAAGCCCCACGTCGGGCTCCGTGCTGGCAGCTCGGAGCCTGGAGCCTGCCTCAGATTCTGTGTCTCCCCCTCTGCCCCTCTCCTGCTCACTCCCTCTCTCTCAAAAATGAATAAAAACATTAAAAAAAAAATTTAACGCGAATAGTCATTTAAGCACACTAGGAAGGATGAGAGGGAAGAGGTGAAGAGATAAAGAGGGATATGGGAGCTAACACCTCATCTGTGATTCCGGAAGCTAAACGCTGTCTAAATATTTAAGAAGAAGAGCAAAAGAATGATCTTAGTTAGCAATGTGGAGGTAACTTCCTTACCATGAAAGAGCTGAACACATTAAGTTCCCTGTGGAGTGTGAGTCTCCAGGTAGAAACGAGTGAAGCCATGAACTGCCAGGCTTTGTCTTCAAGGGATCACTTGACTTTCTAAATTGTTCACATGCATTATTTGAACAAAACTGACAAGTAAAGCTGAATATAAAGGGTGTGTGTGTGTGTGTGTGTGTGTGTATTAGACCAGATGAATCTAAAGACACATAGAAAATAATTTCTGAAGGAATAAAAATACACTTAATAAAATAGTTTATGGTAGAAAAATCAAAGAACAAAAAAGAGATTATTAACAATTTATACCACAGAGCTTCAAAGGTAAGTCATTTTATCATACAGTTCCTAAAAGTGGGTGGAAAATGATTATAAATTAAGTCACATTTCCATAATGTTGACAGATTCAATTATAAAAATATGTGCATTTGCATAAAATTTGAAAACCAAGTAAAATAAAAATGATTCATAACCCTAATATT